TGACGGTCGGGGCCACGTGGAAGAAGGTTTTGGGTCTTACCATCAAATGCTTCCCTTCCTAACTCCTTGTTTGGAGTTAACTTAAATCCATCCTGGTTGGGGGATGGGGTGGATAATCCGTTTGGCCTCCATATATGTTGAGTGCCCTCATTGTGGGCTGGCGGTGTTTTGGTTTCTGGGATCCCCACATAATTGAAGAAAACGTTTTCCTTGGACTCTGCTGAGGATGGAGACGCTCTGGAAGTAAGGGGAGTGGGCTTTGTGGTGGTGGTTTGTACCACCGACATGAGAGTCGTGTGGGACAGTGGAGATGCGGGCTCTTCCATCGGGGCAGGTGTGGGGACTTGATTCGGGGGCCGCATTTCAGGGCGGATAATCGCAGGAGGGGTTTCCTGATGCCCCTGACCACTGATGGTTCCTGCCCGACTCGAAGAGGACTCGACGTCCATGCTTGAGAGGGTGGTTGAAGAGACCTGTCCTTCCTGTGGAAACAGTGTAGACGCTGCAACAGAAGGCGAAACCTCAGAGGAAAACTCCAGGTCCTCCGACTCTTTAGAAGAAGATCGGTCTGTCAGGGTTTCTGGAGAGCTGGTAGCAGCTGCGTCTGTTTGCAGCCTCCCTGGCTGGGCTGTCCTTGGGGGATTCCAGCTTTCAGCTCCTGGAAAGCCGGAAGGAGGGGACGTTTCCTTAAATTCTCCCACAGTGGAGACCTCGGAGCCAGAAGTTGATACAACATTAATGACTGACTCAGCAGGGACTAAACCATCAGTTCTGTTGTCACTGATGCTTGTGACACCATTAGTCTTCATTTCTTTACCAGCTGATGCCAGCGTATGTGTGCCGGGAAGTGTCTCTTGGAATGTGTCAGGAGATACAGATATGTTTGTGGGGGTTGCCATGGAATCTTCCACTCTAGTTATCTGACGTGGGTGTGCAGTTTCCAAAGAAATGGCTGTAGAGAAAGCCGCAGTCTCTGGACTGGGGGTAATCGTGTTTTTAGGTTGCTTGTCTGAGGAAGGGCTGAGCTTGGACGCAGACGTGGCAGAGCTCGCTGTGGACGTGCTGTACCGATGCTTGTTTGGCCTCCTCCCGTGCTTCCTTCTTGGGGTCCCCTTGCTTACAGGTTCTTCTTGCTTCCGCATTTCCAACTGTTTGGGGGTCCCAACTGTGCTCTCAACCCAAGAGGTAGGGACCGGCGAACTCTGCGCTTTGCTTGGAGTCTTCACTTCAGGTGCTCGGGTTGGTGGGTCAGAGAAAGTCTCCGTCGGGGCAAATGTGGTGGGTGGAGTTTGTTTATGCCGGAGTCGGAATTTGTGGGGACGTAACCTTCTCCTCTCGTTGGGTCTCTTTCGAGAAGGGTGAGTGGGCGGCACTGATGGTGACGTGGCCTTCTGGGCTGGCACTGTCGTGGCTACTGGGGTGGTGTCCTTGTCAAACACAGCGGCCAGGGTGGTTTCCCGGGGACCCTGGGACGGAGCCCCACTGCCCTTTCCTCCCTGTGCAGAGTCAAGCGGACCACTGGGCTGCAAGCCCGGCTTCATCCTCCCAGGACTCACGGGGTCGGTGGGGTCTCGCTCAGGCATCGCTCCTTCTCGGAGCATCAGAGAATGCTCCTCCTTGCCCTTTTGAACCAGTGAGTTGCCCTGAGTACGGAAACCGTTGTTCACCAGCTGGGAGCGGTCTGTTTTTTCTCGTTGAGGTGCTTGGGCTCGGACAACTGGCTCCCCCGAAGGGACATGTTCAGATGGCTTCGATGTCCTGGAGTCCACAACCAACACGGCGAGGGTTGTAGGAAAGGGTTTGGGGGTCGGTTCTTTCATCTTATCCTCATCGGAGGGTGAGCTGATCTCCAGTTCTGCGTCAATGGATGGCACAGTCTCAGATGCTTCCAAAGGAGACGCATCGCCACGTGATGTGGGCTCCGGCAGGGATCCGACGTGTGCCGTGGACCAGTTGTCCTCGGCGGCTGNTGACATTATTTATCTGATATTATTATGCAGATATAATCACTGAAACGAAAGCGATCTGGTTCACTTTTGTTTGGGGGAGTGAGAGAGCAGGGGAAACGCTGGGGGTTAGGTCTGGACTCTGGGTGATAAAGGAAAGGTTTCATCGCGTGAAAAGCCATGTCCCCCGCTCCTAGGGCGCACGGAGCCACAGCCGTGCGCCTTCCTCCTGGACGAGGACACCCGGCGGAGAGGGGTCCCAGGACGGTCCCCGGCATCGGAAGCCCATGCACGGGGTGGGTGGCGAGCCCGGGGCGCACGTACCTGAACAGCGCGTCGATCATGCGCTTGGAGGGCAGCCTCCAGAGGATGCGAGGCCAGGGGTCCCCGGAGGCGCTGCAGTCCAGCCGCAGGGTCCCCCCGTAGTGGACGTTGGTCCTCTGCGGGGAGGTGCCGGTGATGCGCGCGTTGGCCGCGGCGCGCTGCACGGTCAGCTGCACGGTCCTGCGCGCGGAGCCCACCAGGTTGGCGGCCACGCACTCGTAGCGCCCGCTGTCCTTGGGCGCCAGGTTGCGGATGTAGAGCGTCCCGTTGGGGAAGACGAACAAGTTGCCGTGGAGGAACTGCGACGGGCGGACCTGGGTGCCGTCCCCGAGCACCCAGCGCACGCTGGGCTGGGGCGCGGCCTTGGCGCTGCAGTGGATGTGGATGCTGAGCCCAGGCGGCAGCGAGATGTTCTCCAGCTTCTCCTGCTGGATGACCGGGGGCAGGGCCGCCACGTGCAGGCGGATGGCCAGGCTGTCCGCGCCCGCCGCGTTGCTCGCCACGCACTGGTAGACACCTCGGTCTGCGAAGGACGCCTCTTTGATGGACAGGGTGCGGTTCTCGTGCAGGGTCACCCTGCCTTCCACGGGGGACACGGTCTGCCACACCCTCCTGTCCGGGAAGATCCAGGAGATTTGGGGCACGGGGGTCCCCTTGGCCAGGCACTCCATGGCGATGGTGTCTCCCAGGTAGACGGTCACGTCCTGGTAGTGGGACGCCAGGATCTGCGGCTGTTGAACGGACACGGACAGAACCACCACCATCCTGTCCACGCCGTGCAGGTTTTTGGCCACGCACATGTACTGCCCGCGGTCCTGCACCTGCACCTTCCGGATGACAAACGTGCCGTTCTTGAGGACCTCAAAGCGCTGCACTCTGGTGTTAGGCGTCATGAGAGCACCTGGCGAGCAAACACAGGTACCATCAGGCTTCAGGGGAGAAAAGAGCCCTTTCGAGAAGGACCGAACTGAGGACTCTTTGGCAGTTAGTCAAATTCTCCTCGTTAGGCTGGAAACAGCAAATGCAGGGACCCGCCCCCACCTGCAGAACGGGGACGAGAGAACGTTCAGTTCCACCGTTCCTCTGGACTCTTAACACTTCTCCCAGAATCGGGGCAGGTGCCACCTTCAAGTAGAAGGAAGCTAGAACAGGTTGCATAGAAGATTCTAGAACCCACTGTGAACCCCGGGCCCACTCAGTGTGGCCTCCTGATTCATGGCCGGCACTGGAGACACAGCCCTCATTCACACAGCCCCGGCCTCGCTGCATGGGTGCTGTCCCTCTGCGTTCTTCAGGTCGGCGGCAAGGGCGCCCCTCGCTTGGCGCCAACCAGCCACCTCTGACATCTGGGGACCTTGCGGACTCTGAAGAGACTGTCCTTCTCAGGGCCGGCCAATTCCTAGATCCAGCCAACATTTGGCCCTCGAGTGTTCCTTTCATGTACAAACTCACCATCCAGAGCCCACGCCCGCCACCTCCTCCTCTGTGGGGCTGTCACACTGCAGCTCCCCCACCCACCGCCTTCCTCACCCCAGGGCAGCCCGTGTGCCACAGATCCTGCTGAAAGGATTCAAGCCAGTCGGTCCCCAGCCTGCTCACTGTGCCTCGCCGTTCCTTCCAGCACAAACCACAGTAAGGTCTCCTGTCTCCGTTCCCCCTCCCCCACTGCCTCCTGACCCACCCTGGTGCGGCCCCCGGGGGCCCGGTGTGTCATGCATGACCCGCCTTAAACACGGTGAGGAACCAGCTATCTTTTCCATGGTAATTGTCCCTGATCTGTGGGCCTCGCCATACCTGAATAATAATAAATCCTATCCTTAAAAACTGGAAAACCCTGACTTTTCATCATCCTTGCCTCGCCCACACTGCTGGGTTCCTGGGTCCTGAGTGACGGACACTATGGACTATTCCTTTAAGGCTGGCATGCAACTCTGCCTCTTCCTCCAATCACTGTGTCAAAGATGGGAGTCTTTCCTTTAGACGGAGCTTTGAATGCTGGAAGCTGCCCCCAGTCCTTATCCCCGAGGATGACTCAGATCCTTTGCTGAGGTCACCCACCTCCTAAGTGACCTGCACTCCCATGAGAAGGATGATGTGCTGCAGTAGAGCACATGGAAACAATAGCCTACAGAAGCTGCCAGACCACAGCTCCCGGCTGCAGAGCTGGGCTGGGTGGCAGGTGAGCCCTACAGGACAGGTGCTGGTTGATGCTGGCATCACCTCCTGCCTCCTAGGGGATACAGCTGAGAAGTCCACCTGCTCATGTAAGGTGTCCTCACCTAAAGAGCTAATGTGGTTGATGCAGCAGGAAAAGGCTCAAAAACAAAAAAACCCCACCCAAAAACAAAATAGGGGCATCGTGCAACTCCACGACTCGAGACTGCAGCACTCGGTGGACATGAGAGGATGCCATTCAGGCATGCAATGAGAAAGAACTTTCTAGAAACTGGAGCTAGCTAAGGAAGAGAGAGACGGCCGTGTAAGCTGCTTCCGGGACAGGCGGAAGAAGGCGTGTGAGTGTACGGAGGGGTCTCGTCCATGGAGGCTGTGAATCAGCACAGGAAATGCGATACCCTCACAACCGGTGGGCTCTCTCCAGAAAGGGATACACCTTTCACCAAAGGCACACTCCTTTCAGAAGGACAAGCTTCATGGTGTTCTCATGTGCTGCTTCAAGCAAAATTCCTCAGTAAATCATTACGAAACAGATGACATCCGATGCTGAGCTGATCAAAGACGTCCATTTCCCTACGCTCAGCCGCTCCGAGCGCCTAGCGCTTGGCGTGCTTCCAACACTTGTGAGATAAACGTGACCGAGGATCCCGTGGGACTCCCAAGTGCTGTCAGCATAAATCATTGCTGTATTATCAACATGGAGACCAAAATAAAGACCCCAAGAAAAAAACCCTCTGATCAGAATCCAGGCCCGAAGGACACAGCTGTGTTGAGAGAGAAAGGCAGAAAGAGAGAGGTCTTTTGTGGTGGCTGTGGCTTCTCAGATCTACTTTTTTCTATCACCCATAAATCTTGTCTCCAACCCACAATGTACTCGGTCGTTTCTACGAAGCAGGGGTTGCTTTGGGCATGCCCAGATTCCAAGTGCAGACAATCATATAGACCGTCGGTATGGGCTGAAATTCACAGGTTGAAGCCTTCACCCCCAGGACCTCAGGATGGGGCTGTTTCTGGAGATGGGTCTTTAAAGAGGGGATTAAGGTGACATGAGGTCACTAGGTGGGTGGGCGCTGACCCAACAGGACTGTGTCCTTATAAGAAGAGGAGGTGAGGACCCAGATACACACAGAGGGACGGCCACGTGAGGACACGGGGAGCAGATGGCCGTCTGCACGCCCAGGAGAGAGGCCTCGGGGGGACCAGCCCTGGGACACCCGGATCCCGGACTCCAGCCTCCAGGACTGGGGGAGAGAAACGTCTGTTGTGTAAGGCACCCCATCTTGGGTATTGGTTATGGTAGTTGTCCCAAACAAATACAACCATATCTCCAGGTCCAAATCAGAGCAACACCTGGTGAATTTACCTTTGCGAGGCAGCGGAAGGACCAGGGGACTCTGCACACTGTCCCCTGCCACCTCCTGCTCTCTACTGCACCCCTCAGGGGTGGAGACGCCTTTCGTACTGGGCCTCGCTGGGAGAAGTCAGGGCCTCCTCTGTGAAGTGCTCCTCAGCCCGTCCTATTTCCCCCACAAAGAACCTATTTATTACACGTTTCCTTGGCTCAGATCTCACATCAATTCTTCTCCTTACTTCCTGTCCCCGTAAAGGAACATGCATGTTCTCAGGGGTCCCCTCCCATCCCAGCAGCCCTGTGTTTTCCCAGAGTCTCTGGCTCGGCCTGAGGTCACAGACTCAAGTGACTCCTGCTACACAAACCCTGGTTTAAATGCAGGTGCTTAACCCCCCTACCTGTGGAAACCTTTGTCCAAGTCACGAAAGGCTTGGGTTTGCCCGTTGCCTCACAGGGGAACACGACGTCGGTCTCCGCGGTGACGGATACGGTCTGCGGGGACTTGGTGATAATTTGGGGCTTTTCCCCAAGTGTCCAGAATTTGGACGCAGGTGGCCCTCCGGCAGAGAAGAGCTTGGAGCCGCTCTGATGGAAGCTTCTGGAAGGCTGTCCAGAAGCGGTGACGAAGGGGACGGAGCTCCGGGTGGAGTAAAGCAGAGGGATGTTCTGGACGTTTGTGGAAGGCGGTGCCGTGCTCCGGGGATGGTGTAGAAATGGGGGTGCTGGCGGACCGAGGTCCCCATGGCTGATGCTCTGAGAATGGATCCTAGGGTAGGTGCCGGGGTTGACCTTTCTCTCTGCCATCGCTGGGGCAGGAGAGGTGGGTGTGGGGGGCTTCTGCGTAACTCCCAGCTGTGGGAAAGACAAGGTCCTGTTGGAAAAGAGAGGGAGCCTTCCATTCGAATACTGAGGGACTCTTGGACTTGGAAGCTTGCCGACAGGGTCTCGTAGGTCCGGGATATAGTTATTTCCAAACACGTTGGGGTTGCCATTCCACCGGTCAGCTCCTTGGTCAGGAGGCTTGCTAGGAGTGTTGACTTTGGAACCACGCCACGGAACCACAGGAGGGCTTGTGCTTGAGAACTTTGGCGTCGTAACGTGGTGATGCTTGGGCAAGGCCCTGGACGGAGGGTATGCAGTTACTTCCGCTTTGTTGGTCAAGTGGCGAGGGGGCTGGACGGTTACAACGTGTCGGAAGGAGTTTTGGGTGGTCATGTGTGGTGGCCGCACAGTCCCTCTTGGTGGGACAGGCAGGGCAGGCACTTTGGCCGGTTGGTGGAACCCGTGGACTCTCCCTCCCTGGGGATGACGGTCGGGGCCACGTGGAAGAAGGTTTTGGGTCTTACCATCAAATGCTTCCCTTCCTAACTCCTTGTTTGGAGTTAACTTAAATCCATCCTGGTCGGGGGATGGGGTGGATAATCCGTTTGGCCTCCATATATGTTGAGTGCCCTCATTGTGGGCTGGCGGTGTTTTGGTTTCTGGGATCCCCACATAATTGAAGAAAACGTTTTCCTTGGACTCTGCTGAGGATGGAGACGCTCTGGAAGTACGGGGAGTGGGCTTTGTGGTGGTGGTTTGTACCACCGACATGAGAGTCGTGTGGGACAGTGGAGATGCGGGCTCTTCCATCGGGGCAGGTGTGGGGACTTGATTCGGGGGCCGCATTTCAGGGCGGATAATCGCAGGAGGGGTTTCCTGATGCCCCTGACCACTGATGGTTCCTGCCCGACTCGAAGAGGACTCGACGTCCATGCTTGAGAGGGTGGTTGAAGAGACCTGTCCTTCCTGTGGAAACAGTGTAGACGCTGCAACAGAAGGCGAAACCTCAGAGGAAAACTCCAGGTCCTCCGACTCTTTAGAAGAAGATCGGTCTGTCAGGGTTTCTGGAGAGCTGGTAGCAGCTGCGTCTGTTTGCAGCCTCCCTGGCTGGGCTGTCCTTGGGGGATTCCAGCTTTCAGCTCCTGGAAAGCCGGAAGGAGGGGACGTTTCCTTAAATTCTCCCACAGTGGAGACCTCGGAGCCAGAAGTTGATACAACATTAATGACTGACTCAGCAGGGACTAAACCATCAGTTCTGTTGTCACTGATGCCTGTGACACCATTAGTCTTCATTTCTTTACCAGCTGATGCCAGCGTATGTGTGCCGGGAAGTGTCTCTTGGAATGTGTCAGGAGATACAGATATGTTTGTGGGGGTTGCCATGGAATCTTCCACTCTAGTTATCTGACGTGGGTGTGCAGTTTCCAAAGAAATGGCTGTAGAGAAAGCCGCAGTCTCTGGACTGGGGGTAATCGTGTTTTTAGGTTGCTTGTCTGAGGAAGGGCTGAGCTTGGACGCAGATGTGGCAGAGCTCGCTGTGGACGTGCTGTACCGATGCTTGTTTGGCCTCCTCCCGTGCTTCCTTCTTGGGGTCCCCTTGCTTACAGGTTCTTCTTGCTTCCGCATTTCCAACTGTTTGGGGGTCCCAACTGTGCTCTCAACCCAAGAGGTAGGGACCGGCGAACTCTGCGCTTTGCTTGGAGTCTTCACTTCAGGTGCTCGGGTTGGTGGGTCAGAGAAAGTCTCCGTCGGGGCAAACGTGGTGGGTGGAGTTTGTTTATTCCGGAGTCGGAATTTGTGGGGACGTAACCTTCTCCTCTCGTTGGGTCTCTTTCGAGAAGGGTGAGTGGGCGGCACTGATGGTGACGTGGCCTTCTGGGCTGGCACTGTCGTGGCTACTGGGGTGGTGTCCTTGTCAAACACAG